GTTGGTTGGATGGATGATGGATGGATGGATGGTTGGTTGGTTGGATGGATGGATGGTTGGATGATGGATGGTTGGTTGGTTGGATGATGGATGGATGGGTGGATGGTTGGGTGGATGGATGGTTGGTTGGTTGGATGGATGATGGATGGATGGATGGTTGGTTGGTTGGATGGATGGATGGTTGGATGATGGATGGTTGGTTGGTTGGATGATGGATGGTTAGATGGCTGGATGATGAATGGTTGGATGGAAGGATGATGGATGTTAGATGGTTGGATGATGGTTGGTTGGTTCGATGGTTGGTTCGATGAATGGATGGATGGATGTTGGATGGTTGGTTCAATGAATGGATGGATGGTTGGACGAATAGATGGATGGATGAATATCTGCAGCTCTATGACTTGAGTCAATCCAATTCAAAATGGTCACTATTTATCCTGTTTTGATGACAGCTAATCAACATTAGCTAACAGAGATACAGTAAGTACATAAAAACAAACTAAAACTGTTTAAATTTAAAACATTTTGCTCCTCTTCAATCAAACATAAGATTTATAACAAACTAACTTTACAACAGTTCTGTTGGACTGAAGAAGGCCTCGCAGGAGCTGAGAACGGTGCCAGGTTCGTAGCTGGTCTGCATCAGGACCACGTACGCTGTCGACGGAGCCAGGAGGAAAACCCAGGTGGTCATGGAGATGATGCGAGCAGCTCTTACCCTCATCAGGAAGTGAGTTCCAACAAGATGGACTATCTTCAAGTACCTGGAGAGACAGGTGATTCACGAGATCCTCTAGGAGTTCTCAGTGAGTGAAAGGTTAAAGAGTTCTCAGAAGGTCAGAGAAGACGCACCTGTTGGCTGCGATGTAGCCCATGACCAGGACGCTGGCGTACATGTTGAGGAYCAGGGAGGAGGCTCCAACGCTGCAGTAGAGGATGGTGTCTGTGTAGCCAACCTTGGTGGAGACGTTGGCGTAGTTAGAAATGTTGGCGTAGTTGGAGTTGGCGCAGTTTGAGACGTTGGCGATGTTGGAGACGTTTGCGTAGTTGGAGTTGGCGTTTTTGGAGACGTTGACGTAGTTGGAGACATTGGCGTAGTTGGAGTTGGCGTAGTTGCAGACGTTGGCATAGATGGTGATGTTGGAGACGTTGGCGTAGTTGGAGTTGGTGTAGTTGGAGACGTTGTCGTAGTTGGAGACGTTGGCGTAGTTGGNGTTGGAGACGTTGGCGTAGTTGGAGTTGGTGTAGTTGGAGACGTTGTCGTAGTTGGAGACGTTGGCGTAGTTGGCGATGGAGACATTGGCGTGGTTGGAGTTGGCGTTTTTGGAGACGTTGGCATAATTGGAGACGTTGACGTAGTTGGAGACATTGGCGTAGTTTGAGACGTTGGCATAGATGGCGACGTTGGCGTAGTTGGAGACGTTGGAAATGTTGGCAACGTTGGTGTAGTTGGCAATGCGGAGAAGCAGGCTGAGGCAGAGCAGCAGATCAGCGACCGTCAGGTTCTTCAGGTAGATCATCAAACTGTTGGACCRTCTCTGCAGAGTCCGGCAGCAGTGGAACCACAGGATGAAGCTGTTGAGGACCAAACCCACCTGGAGGAGAAGGAGGAGGAAACTGAACGTACAGAACCTCGAACCGGAGCAGCAGRACCTGAGGAGGAGGAGGAACTCACGAGGACCAGCAGACTGTAGACCAGGATGAAGAAAAGACCGCCTGTTTTTTCCACAAGATCACAGCCGGGTGCTAAACTGGTGTTCCGGGTCAGAACTGAGGAACTGTTGAGGGCTGAAGTCCCTCCTTCTGGGTCGGACATGTTGCTGTGGAGTTTCATGAGCAGCAGATTAAACTTCTTCAAACAAACTTCATGTTTRGGAGGAGTGGAAAGAACGGACAGTGATCTCTAATAAACGGTGAATTCAAATCTTTAAGTTAGATGGCACATAACAAGGCCTTCACAGTTTCTCTGTTTCTCAATGCTTCATGGCGTTCACACAATTATCACCTGTAATATTWATAATTTATTATAAAACATAAATCTTACAGGTGATAATTGTTGATAATTGCTTCAGAGCATTCACACAGTGGAGATCAGTTTTTCTTCTGTACATTTTTAGCATCTAACTCATTCCACAATTTTTGTGCTATTTCAACAATTCATATATGAAAACGTTCATTCATGACAATCCAGCTATAACTTTGGGTATTTCAGCTATTTATACTTTTTTTTTTAGCTGTTTCACTTCTT